GTAAAGGACGTTTGAAAAGCGCTAATACGAGTATGGTCTCAGTATATTAAATTTTTCAGTCAAATAAGTTTGTTATGAATACAAGCGTTATTAATTTACTTGTAGTCTAATTATTATATTATTGTTATAATTGAGTCAATATATTGAATATTTTTATTTAAAATCTATACAGTATTCGTTGCATATTTGCATATACTGGTTGAATTTGACAGATTTTGACAATTTTTTTTTATTCCAGATTCAAAATCAATTTGTTTTCGGTGAAAAGATTTGATTCGGTACTAATAAAAATTCTGTCCGGAAATGATATGATTCATATTATCCTGAAATTGCCGAATTAAACAACAATTTACTACCTACAACTGAAATATATTATTTAYCCACATATTATATTTTTGAGTTGTTTTACTTGGTTACAAATCATAAGGTATTTCAAAACATTTACTAAATTGATATATAACGATGYATTGTTTATGAACACTTAATATTTATTACTCAAGGTTTATAAATTAATTACACATAAAAAGTTAGTACAAATATAAATATTTATTCACTGTTTTTTATTTACACAACTGCTTGCTGAAATTAAAATCCATATAATAACTCAGCATAATATAATATTTCAGTATTATTATAATATTAAGTTATCTTTATTTTTTTTCTGGGATTCAAACTTGAACCAACTCTTCTCCTATCACAAGTACTCCAATATATACAATTAGAATTAAAGTTTTGTAATCTTATACTATCGATTAATATGCATAAAAAATAAGTTTTTTTTATATATTTATTAGTTGTAAAGTTAACTGCAATATATTGTACACAATCGCAGACCAATCGCGGTTATATTATTTTCTTATTCAATATATTAATTATGCTTAAAAAAATACTTTAAATCGAACATTATTTGCMAAAAAWCTGTAGACAACCTATATCTAAATGTATATAGATTCTAAATGTAAGACACTAGTTTTACGATAATATGCTATTTCATAGAGTCTATCATCATGTTTTTTTCTCTATATTTGTTCATTGAAACAACTTTAAGATATTTGTCGATGTGTATCACAAGTGGGTAGTAGGGAAATCATGTGATCTATTTATCTATTTATATATCATTATATACATGATCTACCCCTTTCTCCAAGAGTAGACATATGCGGCCTTCACTCCCAGTGGAGTGGGGCCTAGTTGGAAACCGGATCAGAAATCGGACGACAGCACAAGAAATTGGTGATTGCATGTAAAACTATGCAATTTTTTTTTTGATACATTGCTATGAATTTAACCGATGACTGTGTGAGTTGCAATCAACTGCTTGACCACTGTGCCACTCCAGCCCCAAATTCATGTTTTGAAGTTAACAATTTGGTTCAAGATTTATTTTTGAGAATGGTTTTGGGTAGACAATTTTATCTTATTTGTACACTTTTTTTTTATTGTGTTAAAGTTATCAATATCAGGATATTAAAAAAATTGAAAATTGTGTTATGTATAATATGTAGAATTTTAACTATGAATTATTCTCACTCTTTGTACATGATTGGTATACACGGTTAATTTGTACATTCTTTTTTAATGTATATTAGGTTTAAAATCTTTTTTAAACACTAAGTTATTGCTTTTGTACTAAACTGTTAAATAAATATTTCGTGTTCATCTTAGCATTTTGCTCTAAACTACATGAGTGCTGGAACACGTTTCCTACATTTCTTTGTAGGACTCTTAAAAATAGGTGGGATACTTAACTATACCAACATATTTTTTCACTTGTATGTACTTTGTATAGACCAAAAGTATTGTATCAGTACACTACCGTCCTTGCTCAGTTTGTGGAGTTATTATGCAAAATGAAAATATACATAATGAAAAATGTATACTACGTTCCGTTTAATTTCATTACTAYATTATTACATAATTGGCAGAGATTTTTAAATTTTTAAATTTTAAAACCATCATATTTTTGTTATGGGAACTTTGCACACCTCCAACAGACAGCTTATTCTTCAATGGAGGCATCCTTCGC